TTCATTGTGTCGAGTACCTTATTGTTGAGTTTCACTGAGTTGAGAAAATTATTACTTAGTTGAGTTTCTTATCCTTGAGTACTTCTGAGTTGAGTAAGTTTGAGTAGTTTTGAGTGTCCTTGAGTATTCCTTTAGTTGAGTAAGTTTGAAAAGAGGAAAGTATGTCTCCTTTTTATCAAGTTTCAAGCTTATGTTTATGTTTTAGAATTCCCCTTACATGCTCGTACATTCCACGTACTGAGCCATTTGGCTTGCATCTTTTCATGATGCAGACATATGTATTCAGGATCATTAACAGGAGATTCGTTGATACATCCGGGAGTTCGAGTTAGCTATGGTGAGCCTCCTTGTTTCCGGAGGATTTCATTTACTTTTTAGTTTAGTCATGATGTCGTGGGTCTTGTCTCGACTTCTATCTTTATTAGTTAGAGGCTTCACAGATAGTCAGTATAGTTGAAAAGTCTGTATTATTTATTTATTTTATTAAATGTTTTAAAGACTTAAGTTGCCTATTTTATGGCGAGTTGAATATATTATTTTTATTCTAAGTTGTTCATTTGAGTTAATGTTTTACAAAGTTGAGTTTATTGAATTTCAATTTTAAGCTTTTGCATGCTTAAGTTAGTCTGTCAGGATGAGGGTTCGCTTGGGGATCAACAATGGTTCTTGAGTGCCGGCCACATCCAGGGTGTAGACTTGGGTCGTGATATCTATATTAGCTAATTAACTAGTATATGTTTGCTTTTCCGCGTAATTTTCCCTAAGGAAATTGAGTAATCTGCCACCGCACCGTAACTATAAAATTTTAATCGTTGATCAACCGTTAATCCGATAATCCAATACAAATAAGCCAATTTTGCGATTGGCCTATCGGTTATGGTTCGATTTTGAACCACCCTAAGTATACCCTTAAAGTCGAGTCAGATTTTTCAGTTACACACCCGATTTTTGAGATGGTCTTATTATCCCTTGAATTTTTTCACTTTGTATAATAACTATAATGCGATAAGACATCTAGTTATGCTAAATGAATGGTTCCAGGTAAAATTGAACCAAGGGTTTCAGATTCGAACCTTGAAAATAAAGAATATCATGATAGAGAGTGTTTTGCATTTGAAGAAACAGAACAACATGAGCCCCAGAGGTGGATGTAGCCTTTTCCTGTTTTGTTGTATTAATAAATGGAACACTTCAGTCAACAGCTCAATAGTTGCTATCCTCTGTGTGTATGAGTTAAGCCATTTCAAGCAATGATCTTTAACAGCAATAAATGTAGAAGCAGAAAATGTTAAGAAATATGAGTTATGTTGTTTCGACTCTCCTAAAATATAATGACACCTGTGTTGGTTCCTTAAAAATTGCATTACTTTTGAAGAATCCAACACGTACCCATTGACATTTTTGAAGAGTTTGAGTAACATAGCTAATGAGCGGCTGTGTAGATCACTTCTGTCAACTTGAAACAGAAATTGTGGTAGGTTATAGTAATGAAATTGTGGTAGGTGGCCTGTTAATGAATTATGAGAAAGGTTTAGGAACAGCAATGAGTCCCACCTCATGCTGCTAAACCAGTTAGGGATTTGACCACAAATCTTATTGTTAGAAATATCCAAGCCCTCAAGTGTGTTTACATTTCTCAAGAAGTGTGGAAAATACTTCAGTTGACAAGATGATAAGAATAAAGATGATAGGCTAAGAAAGGTGATATTCATTCCCTCATCAATGGTGATGTTATTTGATGAAATTCCAAGGGTTTCAAGGTTTGTGAGATTCACAAGTGATTGAGGAAAAGAACCACTGAGTTGATTATTGCTTAAAAGCAGTTGTTTTAATGTTGGGTTTGTTTTGATCACTTCCTCGGCTAGTCCTCTGAATCGGTTATGTTGGAGCGACACTGAAGATAGCAAAGGTAGGCGAAACACCCAAGATGGTATGGTACCATTCAGTGAGTTGTATGACAAATCCACAGAAGTTAGCTTTTGAAGCATGCTTTGGTTGCTAGGTAGTGGGCCAGATAGGGAATTACTCGACATGTCTAAGTATTCAAGATGTGTCAAACCTAAAATTGAAGCAGGAAATGGACCAGTGAAGCTGTTTTCAGAAAGATCTAAATAGTATAGCTTTTGGAGGTTAGAGAAAACATCAGGAATTTCACCTGAGAAGGAATTGTCAGAAAGATATAAAATTCTGAGGTGCTTCAATTTAGAGATTGTGGAAGGAATATGGCCAGTGAAATGATTATAAGATAAAAGCAACTCCGTAATTTGTGTTAGGTTTCCTATGGAATCAGGAATGGAACCAGAGAATTGACATCCATAGAGGTTCAAGATATTCAAGGAACTGAAGGTGCCAATTGAATGAGGCAGCTCACCGGAGATGCCTGTGCCTGAAATATCCAACTCCATTAACAGAGTGTTGCTCGGGTGGGTCTTTGGAAAAACTCCTTTGAGAAGATCATTATCACTTAATTTGAGCGTTTCCAAGCTGTTTGACAGAAGGAAAAAGCTCTCTGTGAGAACACCTCGCATATTAGTATAACCAAGATCGAGGTACCTTAAGGAGGAAGAAACATTCACAGGCATCGGAGATGAGATGTTGACAAAAGAGAGAGAAAGTAGCTCCAGATTTGTGAAGTTGTGAAGCATTGTTTCAAATGTTCTCTCATCAAGTTGTAAAACATAACCATAAAAAGAAGAAAGATCAAGTGAAACCAAATTGGAAAGGTATGAGATTTCTGTTGGGATTTTTCCATCAAAGTGAGAATGAGAAAGGTTGAGATGCCTCAAATTCGTCAATTGACCAATGTTATGTGGGATTGAAGAAGGATAATCGAAGTCATTGTAAGCAAGGTTTAGTGTGTGGAGATGATGAAGTTGGAAGAGGCTGCTATTGGGATGAATACTTCCACCAAGCAGACTACAACTAAGGTCTAACCCAATAACATGACCGTTTAATAAGTTACAAGTGACTCCATCCCAACTGCAGCAATCCCTACTCTCATTCCAAGAATTTGTTTTTGGAAAAGAAGTATCACACTCAAAACTAGAGTAATCAGATATTTTAAAGGATTGCTTAAACTGAAGCAAAGCATAAGCTTCAGTGGGAGAGCAAAGATGATGCTCAAAGGAAAAAGAAAAGCATTCACTTATTAGCAACACAAAACAGAGAAATGAATAAAAGAAAAAGAGACTCATGACCATTTTTTGTTTGTTTGTTTTCAGCAAATAACAGGATGGATGTTCTCTTCTTACAAAATCCATGTATATATACTAGTTTCTGAGTTGCACATGTGTTTCATCTAAATTTTTATACATCTCAAAACAATTAAAAATTATATGAAAATATATATGTATTGAGTAATAAAATGTAATAATTATAAATAAATCCTTAAAAGTGTGATCAAATGAGGGTCATATTTTAATGTTAAAATTAATTCCTTTCACACTAATAATTATAAATTTTAAACTTTGATTAGTAGTTAGAACACTTTCAATTAAATCACAAATGGCTAATTTGAGCACAAACAAAAACTTACGACATTAAGAAATTCATAGAAAATCAAATTTAAAAAGTCTAATCAAGAGAAAAACAAAAGAAAGAAGAAAAATATTACATACAGAGTCTTTACAGAAATATAAGCTCTTAAACAAGAAGAAAAATAAATTTAGTATAATAATGATAGGACATGTTGCCTTATTTTATAAATATAAGATCTTAAACAAGAAAGAAATAAAAGTAAAGCTAACTCAACATTCTAATTCCACCACCAGAGATACTTGACTTGGTCAATATTTAATGTTAAAGATTGCAGAGAAATAATATCAGAAATTCCTGATTAGTTGTTTTCAAACATGTTAGGTACATTCTATAATTTTCCACAACACTTCTCACTTTTCTAGTTTTTTTGTAGTAGAAAAAAACGTAATGGGGACAAAGTTGATACTTTACAGCTAGTTTGCACTCTATTATTAATAAAATCTCGTATTAGATTAAGCAACAAAGAAAAAAGGTTAACTGAGCCTCGAGTTCCGACCCAACTTTAGGAGGATTCATAGTGTTTCCACTTATTCTCTAGTATGCCGGCTAATGATGAAGATGCTCAACCACTTGAGCAAGCGTCATTTGTTCATATAAGAAGGCGAAGCTATTCAAATAAAAGATGATTTGATGCATATATGTAATTAATTAGCCACAAAAATCGCACGTCATATTCAAAATCACAAATTTAAAAAATCTTACTTTTTTTCTTAGACTTGGTAACCTGTAAAACACAGTGACATAAGGGTAGTGTGGTCAATGCAAATGTATTACATTATAGAAAATCAATTTTCAGTTTCTGTAAACACAAGATTTTCTTTTCTAGTTTGTATAAGAAGAACTGTAATGTAAAATGGACATGCAGTTATGCTGAATATATGAACTTTCTAATATCAAGTGATTTCAATCATGAACCAAACTCTATATGCTTACTGCTTTGCTTTTTCCTTTTTGTTGTACTAATGAGCTATGTTGCTCCAACTCTCCTAAAATATAATGATGTCACACCTGTGTTGGTTCCTTGAGAAATGCAATACTTTGAAGAATCCAACAAGTACCCGTTGGCATTTTTGAAAAGTCCGAGTAACATAGCTAATTAATAAGTGGCTGTGTGGATCACTTATGTCAACTTGAAACAGAAACATAACTTGAATAACCATTGATACTAATTAAATGGCTCATATATAATTATGTTTCTATCAAACATATACAAATAACAAACAGAAAATTGAAAAGACAAAAACAGAACCAGAAAAGTTCACTAATTAGTCCACAAAATCAATCAAAAACAAGTTGGCCCTCTCAATCTTCCATTAAGTCTGTCATCTCTGAGCTCTCTTCTTTGGCCTTCTTCTTTTGTGAGGCATGAGTCCATAGAAAAATTCCACAAACCATTTTGGCTTACGATATTTAAACATGAGACTCCACATGACAGTTCCAACAACTAGTCCAAAACTGTAGCCTATGACTACTGATTCCCACGTAAATCCACTAAAAAAATATGACTCGCCTTCTTCTTCGGACTCCAACTGTTGAGGAACATGCGATGAATCACTCATTCCACATTTCTTTGTTAAAGGAAGACCACATAAATCAAGGTTGCCACCATATGAGTCATTTTCAAATGTGTTGAATTGTGGACCTTGAGGAATTGGTCCGACGAGATGATTTTGAGAGAGGTTTAAGAAGGCCAGAAAGTTCATTCTTGTCAATTCCTGTGGAATCTTTCCAGTGAGCCGATTCCAAGAGATATCTAAAGCTTCAAGCATACTCAATTGTCCTAGTTTCATTGGAATATCGCCTCTGAGATTGTTACGGGATAAATTGAGTAGCCAAAGTGAGCTGAGATCCTTTAGTGTTTTCGGAATCACACCTTCAAAATGGTTGCTTGAGAGATCTATGGTTGTCGTAATTGTGCTGATTCTTTGTAGCTCAATATTCTGCCCTTTGATTACCACCAAACACACTGAATCCTCATACGATACGTACGATGGCTCCTCAGATGGTTCCATGTACTTGATCTCTCTTGTGTCTTCGCCATATAATTTGATCATTGCCTTGAAGTTTCCAAAAACTTTTGCAGGAAGTGAGCCACTGAAATCATTACATGAAGGATCAAAAATTCGCAACTTGGGAAAGCAAAACTTAGTCTGACAAGTACTTATAGGTCCATGGAACTTGTTTGACTTTAATATAAGGACTTGCAGCTCTTGAAGGGTTCCGAGCCAAGCTGGAAACGTGTCATTTATAGCATTGTTCCCCACATCAAGGACTTCTAGACCATTACACTTGAGCAACGACACAGGTACAGGTCCTTCAAATTGATTACCATTTACAACAATGGCACTCAATGAAGTGTTGTGTGCACATAATGGGAATACTCCCTGTGAGATTGTTCCTTCTTAAGTCCAACACCCTTAAATTAGCCATGCTTCCCAAGCAACTTGGAATTGAGTCACTGAAGTAGTTATGTGATAAATCTAATAAGATAAGTTTGCTCATGTTACAAATGGATGAAGGTAGTGGACCCTGAAGGGAGTTAAATTTCAGATCAAGATACTGTACGTTATAGTAATGAAATTGTGGTAGGTGGCCTGTCAATGAATTATGAGAAAGGTTTAGGAACTGCAACAAGTCCCACCTCATGCCGCTAAACCAGTTAGGGATTTGACCACAAATATTATTGTTAGAATTATCCAAGACCTGAAGTGTCTTTACATTTCTCAAGATGTGTGGAAAATTCTTCAGTCCACAAGATGATAAGAATAAAGATGATAGGCTAGGAAAGATGATATTCATTCCCTCATCAATGGTGATGTTATTTGATGAAAGGTCAAGGGCAAAAAGGTTTGTGAGATTCACAAGTGATTGAGGAAAAGAACCACTGAGTTGATTATTATTTAAATGCAAAAATTCTAATGCTGGGTTTATTTTGATCTCATAGGCTAGTCCACTAAATTGATTATGATTGAGCCACAACAAAGATAGCAAAGGGAGGTTCCAAGATGGTATGGTACCATTTAGCAAGTTGTAAGACAAATCCACAAAAGTTAGCTTTTGAAGCATGCTTGCATTGCTAGGCAGTGGGCCAGATAGGGAATAACTCGACAAGTTTAACTATTCAAGATGTGTCAAACTTAAAATTGAAGCGGGAAATGGACCGGTGATGTTATTTGATGAAAGGTCAAGGTTATAAAGGTGTGTGAGATTCACAAGTGATTGCTTAAATCCACTTTTGTTAATGCTGGATTTGGTTTGAGCTCATCGGGTAGTCCACTAAATTGATTTCTACTGAGCGACAAAAAAAGTGTTAGCAGATGGAGGCTAAACAACCAAGATGGTATGGTACCATTCAGTAAGTTGTCATACAAATCCACTTGGGTTAGCTTTTGAAGATTGCTCGCATTATTAGGAAGTGGGCCAGATAAGGAATTACTCAACAAGTCTAACCGTTGAAGATGTGTCAAGTTTGAAATTGAAGAGGGAAACGAACCGCTGTTATCAAAAAGATCTAAAAAGCGTAGCTCTTGGATGTTAGAGAAAACATCAGGAATTTCACCTGAAAAGGAGTTGGACCGAAGAAGTAAACTTGTGAGGTGCTTCAATTTAGAGATTGTGGAAGGAATATGGCCAGTGAAATGATTATAAGATTAAAATCAACTCTGTAATTTGTGTTAGGTTGCCTATGGAATCAGGAATATGGCCAGAGAATTGACGTCCTTGGAGATTCAAGATATTCAATGAATTCAAGGTGCCAATTGAATCAGGCGGCTCACCGGAGATTCCTGTGTATGAAATATCCAATTCCATTAACAGAGTGTTTCTCGGGTGGATCTTTGGAAAAACTCCTTTGAGAAGATGATTACCACTCAATTTGAGTGTTTCCAAGTTTGGCAGAAGGAAAAGGCTCTCTGTGAGAACACCTCGCAGATTAGTAGCTTCAACATCCAGGTACCTTAAGGAGGAAGAAATATTCACAAGTATGGGATATGAGATGTTGACAAGAAGGAGAGATAGTACCTCCATATTTGTCAAGTTGTGAAGCATTGCTTCAAATGTTCTCTCATCAATTTGTTGTAATCAATTCATAGAAAGATCAAGTGAAACCAAATTGGAAAGATATGAGATTTCTGTTGGGATTTTTTGCATCAAAGAAAGAACGAGAAAGGTTAAGATGCCTCAAATTCGTCAATCGGCCAATGTTATGTGGGATCGAAGAAGGATAAAAGTCATTGTAAGCAAGATTTAGTGTCTGGAGATGATGAAGTTCGAAGAGACTGCTATTGGGATGAAAATTGCCAACAATCTGACTACAACTAAGGACCGGTTAACATGTGACATGTAACTCCGTCCCAAGTACAACAATCTCCACTCTCATTCAAAGACTTTGTTTTTGGGAAAGAAGTATCACACTGGGAGTAGTCGGATTTAACTTGAAAGGTTGCTTAAACTGAAGCAAAGCGGAAGCTTCAGTGGGAGAGCAAAGATGATGATCAAAGGAAGAAGAAAATCATAGACTTATTAGCAACACAAAACAGAGAAAGGAATAAAAGAAAATGTTGGGATAAGTATTATTTTGATACATGACAAAATGCAAGGAACACGTTGGCAAAGTGAGTTGATGAGAAACTGTTTCAAGAAGGACTTCTAATTAATAAAGGTATAAGAAGAACTCTAAATGAAATAAAGTGGTTGAACGAATGAGGAGTCACTGAAGGAGTAGAAGACTTCAGGAAACAAAAGCATAAATAGGAGAAGAGGCGTTCAAAATAATTACGCACCCACAGAGCAAAAAAATTGAGAGATTGATTTCTGAAGTGCTGCTGATCAAAGAATATAGAAGAACAGATCTAGGAAGTTTTCTTAGTATTTGTGATTTTTATATTTTCTAGATCAGTAATTTATAACTGATATTAGGATTTTAGTCTTCAAGTTGAGGGCAACTCGAAGACACTGAGAACGCATACCTTGGAGGTGTGTGGTAGAATTGAGATTAAGTAGTTGATCTTTAGGTTAGATAAACTATTGTAATCTTGTTTGTTGGTTGAGACTTGTAGTTATTTAGTGAAGTTGGGGTAAATCCTGTTGAGGAACAAGTCGTGGTTTTTACACCTTTTGAGCCGGGTGTTTCCACGTAAAATATTGTGTTCTTACTTTCCTGTCTTTACATTGTCTTTGAAACATGTTAGGCAACTTGGTTCACCTAAGTAAAGTCTGGTAAACGTAAAACAATCTAGGTCGTGTGGAATATCAAACAGACTCATGACCATTTTTTGTTTTCAGCAAATAACAGGATGTTTGTTCTCTTCTTACAAATCAACTAGCATTATCCACATATATATTTAAGAAAGGATGCTATAATTAATTAAGTACTATTCGATTTCTTAATTATTACAACGACCTCCACATTAAATAAAGTAAACAGTTAACTAAACACTATTTCATAAAGTAACGTTGTTGACTTGTCTATGCATGGGACTATGAGGTATAAAATGGGGTACTAATTAATTTGTGGTTGCAAAAGAAGTTGTCCCAAGTGTTGTCAACTCAATTTCCAGGAAGACTCTAGTCTTTAAGTCAAGTCTTGTTTGATAGTACCAATTATACAATATTTGTTTTTTTTCAACTTCGGGATAAATGGTGAGAAAATAGTACAACGTTGGCATCACTAACTACAGAACATGTGGTCCATGAATGATTACTAGTCACTTCTAACAACTTGTTACTCATATTTTGTAGTGTCCACAAGACTTGTTAGAGGAGGACGGAGAAGACCTAACAAAATAATACTCTTTATGTCCTCATTTTCTCTAGATGTTGTGTTCATTTCGAGGTTAGTAAGTATCGCCGTATTGTGTGTTAGGTAAGATGATGTGAAATTGGTCCCATTATGTGGAAAAAATTTCTGCAGAACTTCTAAGAAATTGCCAATGAGAGAAACTATTTCTTGACTAAGTCAAGTGAGGAAACAATTAACAATAATACCGTGTGGAATTTTATTTTTATTCTTTTATTTGCTTTTTATTCAATTTTTTGTTTGATATGTGTCTTAATTTCCTGCATAATTAGTATGTTTTGAATAATTTTATGAATAAAAGGTGTGAATGGAAAAAGAGAAGAAACATATCCAGACAAATAAAATGGGGTATTTGCCCCACATCTACCACTAACTAATTTGTGATTGCAAAAAAGTTGTCCAAAGTGTTTTGAGTCATTTTCCAGAAAGACTCAAGTCTTCAAATCTTGTTTGATAGTAACTATTATACAATATTTATTTTGTCCAAATTTGGCATAAATGGAGAGAAAATAATACAACCTTGACATCACTAACTACGCAACTTGTGGTCCATGGATGAGTACTACTCACTTCTAACAACTTGTTACTTCATATTTTTGGTAGTGTTTCCCACAAATTACTTTTTAGAGGACGGAGAAGACTTAACAAAATAATACCCCCTATGTACTCATTTTCTCTAGACGATTAGTTGTCTCTTGTGTTGTTTCCATAGACTCTCGACTCAAGATAAAGGTGTAGTGATGCACAGGCAAAGAAAACTGAGAGACTAATTGTATAGAAGGATCACTGTTTTCTGTCTTTTGCTTTTATAGATGTAATCAACTCATTCTTTGATGTTTAAAATCATGGAAGAAACAAGTTAAATACATATTATAAAGTTTTCACCTCCTCGAGGTCCAGGCACTTGAGCATTCATGCTCAATTCTCATTACAAGGATGAACACGCCCTTTAAGTCAAAGTGAATGAATATGTCGGAATATAAAAAAGGCAAAAATCGAACTTCAAATGCAGATATGTCTTTCTTTTAGCTTGTTTTTGAGAATATATTTGACTTTCACGTTATTTGTACCTAAGCTAATATATGAGGAACCCCGCGTTCCTAAAATATGATGGTGTTGGTTCTTTAAGAAATACATAACTTTTTGAAAAATCTGAGCTAATGAGTGGCTGTGTAGATCACTTTTGTCAACTTGAAACAGAAACAGACTAACATAACCATTGATATTAAAATAACATACATATAATTATGTTTCTTTCAAACATATACAAACAACAAACAGAAAGACAAAAACAGAACCAGAAAAGTTCACTAATTAGTCCATAAAATCAAACAAAGACAAGTTGGCCCTCTCAATCTTCCATTAAGTCCGTCGTCTCTGAGCTCTCTTCTTAATTTGGCCTCCTTCTTTTGTGAGGCATGAGTCCATCAAAAAATTCCACAAACCATTTTGGCTTAAGATATTTAAACATGAGGCTCCACACAACAGTTCCAACAACTAGTCCACAACTGTAGCCTATGACTACTGATTCCCACGTAAACCCACTAAAGAAATACGACTCCAATGGTTGAGGAACATGTGATGAACCACTCGTTCCACATTGCTTTGATAAAGAAAGACCACATAAATCAAGGTTGCCACCATACGAGTCATTTCCAAATGTGTTGAATTGTAGACCTTGAGGAATTGGACCGACAAGAACATTCTGAGAGAGGTTTAAGACTGCTAGAAATTTTAGTCTTGTCAATTCAGTTGGAATATTTCCAGTGAGCCAATTCCAGGAGAGATCCATTGCTTCAAGCACACAAAAATTACATATACTACATTTTTCGCAAGTAAAAAAGTCCAGAATTTAGGAATTTCTTAATTTTCCATGAAAATTCGTAGGAAATTTCTGCGAAAATAATCCCCAAGTAAAATCTCCTGATTAATTTGCAGTTTTCTAGTAGTGTATCTATGCTCTTCAATTTTGAGTGTGCACAAGTAGACACTACATTTGTATAAATTTGAACTAATAGACACATTCTTCCGACATAACAATTTTGTGTCTTATTGAAATTGTATGAAGAAACTCAACAGAATGAATTCAACTACTACGAAGAGAAGAGAAGAGAAGATAAGAGAGGAGAGGAGAGTAAAGAAGAAACAGATTTAGACTCTGGTTACTTTCATTCTTTTTTCAATACATACAAGAAGATTATGAGTCTAGTTATATAGACCTACTAACTACACTTGATTCTAACTAACTATACCATTACCTAACTAACCTTGTAACTAACTTTGAACTTTTCACACTATCCTTGAGACTTTTAAGTTATTCCTTCAATACTCCCCCTCAAGTTAGGTACTCTAAAAATGTTTTTAATACCTAACTTGGAACTCAAAACTTCATGCTGCATTCTGAATAAACTCTTGGTTAATAAATCTGCAGGCTGTTCATTTGTTGGAATATAATTAGTAGAAATCACTCCTTGCATAATCTTTTCTCTAATGAAAATGACAATCTATCTCAATGTGTTTAGTCCTTTCATGATAGACTGGGTTTGCAGCTATTTGCATAGCAGCCTTACTGTCACTATACACTTTAACTGGAAGAGTAACATCTACACCAAGTTCCTTCATCAATCCAATTATCCACACCAATTCTGCCACTGTTGAAGCCAAGCTTCTATATTCAGCTTCTGCTGAACTCTTAGACACAGTAGTATGTTTCTTAGACTTCCAGATGATATGAGAGTCTCTAAGCTTAACTACATACCCTGTTACTGACTTCCTAGAATTTGGACATGCAACCCAATCTGCATCACAATAGGCTGATATCTCAGTGTTGTCATTGCTAGATAGTAAGACTCCCTGCCCTGGCTCTTTTTTCAGATACCTGACTATTCTAATTGCTGCTTCCAAATGAGACTGTTTAGGAGCTTATAAATATTGACTCAGAGTCTGTACACAAAAGGAGATATCAGGTCTGGTCATATTGATCTACAGAAGTTTACCTATGAGTTTCTGATAAGCTCCTTGATTAGCCATAGGCTCTGCTTGAGCTTTAATCACATGATCATCATATTCCTTTGATGTTAACTTTATATTTGCATCCATAGGAGTCATAGCCGGCTTTGCAGCCCCCAAACCAACATCAGAAATCAATTCTAATGCATACTTCCTTTGATGCATTAGAATACCTTCCTTTGATCTAGCAAACTCAATACCAAGGAAATATTTTAACTCTCCTAAGTCCTTCATTTTGAATGCTTGTTGTAGGTACCCTTTGGTCTCATTGATTAACTTCAAACCATCTCCTGTGATGAGCATATCATCCACATATACAAGAACAACTGTAATGCCTTCTGTACTCTTTTTAGTAAACAATGAATGATCATATTGACTTTGTTGAAATTGAAACTTAAGAAGTGCCTCGGTTAGCTTAGCATTCCATTGCCTAGGAGCTTGTTTCAATCCATACAAGGATTTCTTGAGTCTGCACACTGTCTTAGTCTCCCCCTGACTCTGAAAACCTTGTGGTAAATCCATGTAAATCTCATCAAATAGGTCACCTTGTAAAAAGGCATTAAACACACCCAGTTGATGGATATACCACTGTCTTGTTGCTGCAATAGCAAGTACTGATCTAACAGTTTTCATCTTCACTACTGGAGAGAAAGTTTCGTGATAATCAATCCCTTCTTTCTGACTATACCCCTTGGCTACCAATCTAGCTTTAAACCTTTCCACTTCACCATCAACTTTGTACTTTATTTTGTAAATCCACTTGCACCCAATGGGTTTCTTCCCCTCAAGCAGAGACACTACCTCCCAAGTGTTGTTTTGTTGTAATGCACTAACTTCTTCTTTCATAGCTTCCACCCACCTAGGATCTGTAATGGCCTCATAATAAGTTCTAGGTTCTGTGGATGCTGAAATAGATGCAACAAAAGCTTGGTATTTTGGTGCCAAATGAGCATAAGCAACATATCTAGACATAGGATAGTCTACTATGTCATTCATACTTAGTGAAACAAAATCTTTTAACCAGATAGGAAGGTTTCTATCCCTAGCAGATCTCCTGGTACCCCTATCAGGTGTAACAGGAACTTCCACTTGTCTATTCTCTTCTAGCTGTGTGTTATGAACTTCAGGTGTTGTTCCTTCATGTTCACACTAACTTCATCCATATCATTCATACCACACTCACTAACACATGGAACAAACAGTTTGTTACCTGAATCACTGGTGTTGTTTTTGAAAGGAAACACATCCTCTCTAAATATAACATCCCTACTAACACCTAACTTCCTTGTTTCTAGATCATATAGAATGCATCCTTTCTAAGACATTGAATATCCCATATGCACTGTCATCCTAGATCTTGGCTTTAATTTATCCAGTTCCTGTATTACCTTAGCATAGCAGAGACATCCAATGACTCTTGAATGTGAAAGACAAGGCTGTTTGTTGTAGAATATCTCATAGGGAGACCTGTTCTGTAACACTGAGCTAGGTAGCCTGTTTATGATATGTACTGCAGCTAATACACACAGACCCCACAAGTTAATAGGTATATCAGCTTGGAACCTTAGAGCCCTTGTTACTTCTAGTAGATGCCTGTGTTTTCTCTCAGCTACTCCATTCTGCTGAGGAGTATAGGCACAACTAGTTTGATGCACTATGCCAAACCTCTTAAACACATCTTTGCACACTGTATTAACAAACTCAGTTCCATTATCCGACCTTATGACGTTAACACACCTACCAAACTGAGTCTTAGCATACATAATGAACTGTTTAATGACCACACATATATCAGACTTCAACTTTAACAAGTATACCCAAGTTAACCTTGAAAAATCATCCACTATAGTGAGAAAAAACCTATTACCATCAAATGTAGGCACTTTGTAGGGACCCCAAACATCCACGTGTACAAGATTAAAGCATGTTGAAGTTTGTATACTACTTGTAGGAAACGTATTTCTAACTTGTTTTGCATAAGGACACACAGTACAATTATTCAATATATTTGCTATACTTTCAGTCTTAACAGATATAAGTTGGTTCCAGGACCTTGAAGAAGCATGTCCGAGCCTTTTATGCCACAACTCCACATCTGCATTCTCCTCATGAACATGACTTTCTTTTACAGCAAAACCACATCCACTGTTTTGAGACTGCTGCAACTTTGTACTTCCAGTCAGAATATACAGTCCATTTTCCTCTCTACCAATCTCCCTCACCCTTCCATTGGAGAGATCCTGAAAGAGGCAAAAATTAGGAAAGAAACTTACTGAGCATCCTAACTCTTTTGTGAGCTTTGACACAGACATTAAATTGAACTTGAATTGTGGAACATGCAACACATTAGTCAAAGATATTCTTGGAGTAATACGACTAGATCCAGCATGAGCAACTTTAGCAACAGCTCCATTAGGTAAATACACTCCTCTAGACACTATACCAGGTTTATCTATCAAGTTAACATCTGCTACCATATGATTGGTAGCTCCAGTGTCAATTATCCACTTCTGTATGTTTTTAACAGAATAATTAGGCTGATTATACCTGCTACATTTGCTTAAGACATAGAGTTTGTAGTTGTACAAGGATTGTTGTCACTCATATTCTTCAACAGGTTCATAATCTAACCATATTGCTCTTTAGTAAAAGGTTACAACCCCACTTCAGAATCTCTGTTCTGTGAAAGAGAGTCAGACTTATATGATATTCCTTTCCCTTTGTAGTCTGCCTTACTTCCTTCAACCACATTCTCAAATGCTTCACCCATCATATCACACTGTTCAGAATCTTGGAAACGATCACCAGTAATCACATTGTGAGCCCTTGCACTCGAAGGGTAACTATTATTCCCTGCATGTACTCCTTTCTTCCTGAACTTGTTATAATCAGATGGATATCCTACTAGTTTGTAACATACTTCCTTGGTGTGTCCTTTCATTCTACAAAACTCACATTGTACGTTGTAATCCTTCTTGTATCTTGTAGACCCATTCCTTGTAAACATAGCCATATCAAAACTATTACCTCCTGATGCAGGGTTAGCACCCAAGACTTCAGAATTTGCACTTATAGACTTTTGTCCTTCATCACTTATTATCATTCCATACGCCTGATTGACAGAGGGCATAGGACTCATGAGCAAGATCTGACTTCTTGCTTGATTATAAGACTCATTAAGCCCCATGAGAAACTGAAACAATTTTAATTTCTGCAAATGTACTACAAATCCTTTGGATTTTTCACAGTTACACTCAGGACTTGGGACAAGAGCTTCAAACTCTTCCCACAGATTTTTCAATCTAAAGAAATATGTAGAAACTGTAGCAGTACCTTGACTCAACGTAGCAATTTCTTTGTGCAGATTGAAGGTTCTTGATCCATCAACCTTGTTAAATCTTTCATAAAGATCATTCCATACTTCTTGAGCCTGTGAGGCATACATTATACCTCCTAGCAGATTTTTTTCCACTGAATTCATCAGCCAAGACAACACCACAGCATTCACTCTCTCCTAGTGATTCCACATCTGTTCTGGAACCACTTCTTTTTTACACGAACCATCAACCATTCCCAACTTATTCCTTCCAAGCAAGGCTACTCTCATTGATCTATACCAAATCGAGTAATTTTCAACTCCAATCAACTGAAACGAAATGATTTGTGTACCACTTACATCAGTCGAAGATAGGAACAGAGGATGATTGTAGTTAATTCCAGTCTTCTGACCAGATTCAATTGTTTGTGGCTGTGTAGACTATTCTCCATCCACTGCCATTGAAG